CCTGTGCCGTGTAAGGACTAGAATTACACAGCCAAGCTCTCTCTGGTAAATTCCAAATTAAGACCCCCTCTACTACAGGAGATGACCATTCTTGCTACCACTTGGATTCAACTTGAAATCTTGCTTTTCTGGCAACCAGTAACTTTAAGGATAATGACCAGCATCCTAAGAAAGACTTTGATGTAGTTTTTCCTAGCCAGAATTAGAGAGAACACACAGACTTCACTGCAGCCAAAGACGTGATATTTTAACTTAAAGTTTAACTTAAAAAAAATAATCAAATTAATGAACTTATAAATTGGCTAAGAAAAACAATTTCCAGGAAGACAAAGTTCTCAAAAAAAAGTTTTTGAGCCAGAATCAGGAGAGACTATTAAAACCGACATTGCATCCTGACAATTCATCTATGCATATAACTTACTCAAAGGAAAAACACCTGCATTTCAGTGTGGCTACACATGAAAAGATATGAAAAAAATAAGTGTAGGAGTGAAGCTTTATCCAATGCACAACTGAAAAAAGTTACTAGAAAGTTATCCATTAGATGAGATGTGATTAAGCCCAAAGAAGCTATAGGGAGTGAATCATGCATCATTTTTAACACAAATGCAGGAACAACAAAAATTAAAAAATCTAAAGAACAGAACTGTGAATCCAACTTTTAGCTTGTTTGGATGAAGTATCAAACGTTGGAGATCACAATTAAGGTTAATTTTGCAGCTAAAGTGTTCATACTTGAGAATTGAAGAGGAAGAGATAGTTCTTTAAAGAAACAAAATTCAAAGTTAAGAAATCGTATTGCAACCTTACACTTCAAAAAAAATCTAACTCATTAATCGTCATTTCATGTAATGAACAGCACTGATACATAGCAAATCGCAGTAATCTGGAACTGCAATTACTTGTAACACTGAAGATACACACAGAAGTGTCAACATTTTTCATTCCACTTAAGCTTCACATCTGCATTTTTAATGCATAGGAGTTCTAGAATAACTAAATCTAGCTACCAACAAACATTACAGAAAACAGGCTAAAAGTCTATAATGCACATGTTAGGAAAAGTTAAATATAAGAATTTCAGTTATTTAGAAATACAGCAGCTTTCATTCTTCACCAAAATCCAACATCTCTACTTCATTATGGAACTCCTAGAAACAAAGCTGCTCCTTTACGTGCTCAAAATCACACAGTATCTTTGCAAACATACAGTATTGCCCGGCGGTAGTTTGATACAGGCTGGGTGGCACGGCCATTCCCGAAATTCCAGAAGATGCTCCTTCATCTTCTGACTTTTCTTCTTCTTCAGTGTTCGGTACAGCAGACGCATCTGATGAGAGTTCATTCAAGATTTTGCTAAAAAAGAATGCAAATAATTTTATATATTTTATATTCCATGTCCATGAGAAAACTAAGTCACTGGCTTTTATCAGACAGTTTTGATGTAATATAAAAGCTGCCTTTAAAAACCAGCAAAATCAAAATTAGAAGTCCTTACCGGTATGAAGGCCTTCTTGCAAGTATTTCCCTACGTTTCTGAGAATCAATTATCCCTTCTGAATCTGCAGAATCATCTGCAATCGATGCTACCTGTAATAGCAAAGTTTCTGAAATTTGTAACTTCATTTAAAAAAAAAGGTGGCAACAGAGAAAAAAATTATGTTAAAATATCCTTCTATGTTTGCATACAGGAGGTTTCTGCTCTTATTTATCACAAATCATGATCTTGGACTTCTTTGTCCAAAGCAAAATCATAAATTATGAGTTAGCATATGAGTTAACCAGCCACTTAGATGAAAACTTCCATTTGAAAAAGAAAAATATCAGAATAACGCAGGTTACTTTTTTGTGAAAAACACCTAGAAAAGTTACTGAAGACAGGAGATTTCTTTAAATATAAAAACGTTACACAATTTAATTAGTTTTTAATGTGAAATTAAACATTTAAAATACAGAATACTGCACTAATGCACCTTAAATAACAGTATACAATACAAAAGCCTCTTCACAACCACACCAAAGCTATTTAAAAATAAGTTTATTTAAATATACATATTTATTACACTTACCAACACATAACTCATAAATACAAATGCACTGCTTGGCAATACTGTGCGAGTTTTAGAAACCCTTAACAGGTCTACCATGTCTCATTTTCTCAAATCTTTATTAGTAGTATTTTCACAGGTTCTTTTTCTCTTACAGTTACCTAAGAACACAATAAGGCCTGGAGCCAAATCACACTTTACCAGCAACTATGTTATTACACAGACCTGAAACTGACTGCTGAACAAGGAAAACACGCTGCTCTGTCCATTCATTTAACCACTCAGAACTACTGGTGTGTAAGATTTCCAAACTGAAACAGTGCAGTAACGGTGGTGTGGAAAATTACTTTTTCTCACACAGACCAGCCTGCAGTTTCAGACCGAGCACTGAGTTAAGCTGACGCTGATCAAACACAAGTGACATGACCAGAAGGCTCCAGTGTTCAACCTGGGTGCAGTGGAGGCTTCCCTGCAGCTCAGGGCAGACAAGGGGGAGCTCTAGAACCAATGGGGCTGCCAGGCCCGAGTGCTCGGTGCTAGAAACAAAACCTGCTTGACCTCCACCAAAAATGACTGGCTGGAAGGTTCTGGAAATGTATAGGCCTGAGCCACCCCAACTCAAACCTATAAAACTACACCTTGCAAGAACCACAGGTATTGCAGAATGAAATTGTCTCTTCACTTGTTAATGTTATTGAATTGCAGTGTGTAAAAATATTTAATGTAGCTTCTTTTTGCTGGGTAATACATAGGAAGTGGCATTAAAACTCTATGCCTGCCTAGCAAAAAATAACCAACCAAACAAACCAAAACACCTAGAAATAATGCTAAGTAGTTCTGCATGTCTACAGATGTATACACTTCAGAGCTGCTGGCAGAGATACAAGAGCTTCAAGAAGTTTGTATTCAACCTTTTGCAGGATGGACCAATGCTGACCATCACAGAGATCTTCTGAAAAGCATTTCTCTCCAGTGCCCTACAGCCATCTGCTTGTGGATCAACCTTCGAGCGTCTGACATAAGCCTCCAAAACTAAGACGGTATTACACTGCCGAGAGCTGGGGCATCCCATCTCAAAACAGAACTTGCTTTCTGCAAGGGATGCAAAAAAGAAAAATCTACTTGTCCCAGGACAAACAGCAGGAAAACAAGACCTTAATGCCTTTAAACCTTCCCACTGCGCTAAGGGTTACCAGCGGCCACCCCCAGTTTGTGAAGACGGCCTAAGAAGTCAGGAACAGTCATACTTTGGGAAGAAGGTAAGGAAATCACACAATGATTTAAGCATTTTAATGCGGAAGTGGACATTCTCTGCAAGAAATTTCAAAAGTTCACATTTTCATCAAGACAAAGAGATAAATTTAATGTTTCATTTTGTTCTAATAGCCAGCAACAACATTCACAATGCTAGCCAATGTAAAATATTGTCATTTTTTACTGGACATCATTCAGACTTCAACTTGACCACACCACTCTGCATTTGAACCAACTGAACTTCAAGCCCATGTTAGTCTGCCAATACCTGGTACATTACAGGGGGAGCAAGTAAAAAAGTCAGGTAACAGTCTGAATTTCAAACCTTCCTACAAGTAAAACAACATTAACAAAACAGTAAGGAACATGATAGAGATAAGCAGATTTTTTTAATCCCAAAAGCAACAGTATTACAAGAAAAAACTTTGAACACCTTTCAGTTTAAAGCTGCAGGTGTCTGAGGGAGAGGTCATGCAAGCTTTAACATCAACCTTCATCACACTTTTTTTTTTCTTTTTTTTTTTTAAATTAAACTCATACCATCATTTCCTAAGTTCCCCACTGTCTGGCAGAGATAAGATAGAGTAAAAGCCAAATGATCTGGAGTGCCAGGTGGCAGGATAAAGTACTTAAGAGGATCACTGAAGGGCTGAACAACCTCTGTCATGGAGTCTTTTACAGCATCTTTGAGCCCTTCCTACAGCATCACCACATTTCCCATTGGCATGCTCAAATGAAACCAAAGCAAAACCCTGGAGCTAACTCCACAGCAGTATTCACCAGGACACAGCTTTCCTGTCTCTACCCTTTTAGGAAAGGGAAAAGGGCCAGAGCTCACTCAATACAAACAGTCGACTTCCACTCCCTTATGAAGACACAGCAGATACGAAGGTTTGCCAAATAAGTGTTTCTTTTGAGGCTGCCCTTTCGGTCTTTATATATCCACATCCACAAAAAGCAATACCAGAAGCTCCAACAGGGCCTGCTAAAAACAACATGGAATCATTTGTCTATAATATGTTTAGTTTCATTACATCCAGATGCTCTCCAAAAATATGGCATGAGATACTTGTGAATTTATGGGTTTGCAGTGTCATTAGAAACGTGATGCTCACAAAAGTTAACAAAACAGAAAAACTTCAAGCTACACTGAAGCAAGGCCATGTTATTACACAAATCTGCTGTTGTGTAAGTTAAGGGATCCAAGACAATTTCTGCAAAGATCAACAGGAAGCATTAAGGAATCACTACACAATGCCTGGGGAGCTGCTACTGGCTGGCAGGGTGACACCTTCCCTCCCCACGCCACAGGAGTAAATCTTGCAGTACTGGCAAGAATGAAGAGAAACTGAAGATGGGGCTGGAGGAAGAGTTATGAGGCACCAGATTCAGGAAAATGTAACAAGAAAAGAGCTAACCTGAGCAACTTGGATGTGTGGTGACTGAATGGCTGAGGGCTGTGCGGCTTGAATGACACCCTGGGCATGCCCAGTTTGACCAGAAGGCAACTGCACTACAGTTACAGCTGGAGATCCTCTTCCAGCACTTGCTGCAGCTACAGAAACCTGCAAAAATTACAATCACCATGTGTGTTAAGATTTCAGCAAATGCTATTAGAAGCGGTACTAAAACAAGCTGGTTTTGATGCCATATCTAATATAGCTTAAATGTGTGTAATTATCACATACAGAAATAAACTAGTTTTACTAGTAAAAGTTTGGTGTGTGTCTTTCCAATGGTATAGAAACCTTAAAACTCTCCCTAAACAAATTAAAAATCTATCTTTCTTCTTTTTTTTTTCCCCTCTCAAGAGACTTCATGTTTTCTTTTCAATTAAAAACAACCCTAAGCTATCACACACTAAACCTGTTGTCACTAGGTGAAGGCTAGGAAGAACCTCAAGAAATGTCACAAAAAATATGAATATTCACTGAAGTGGTATGTTGCTGCAACAGCACACACGGCAGAATGTTCTTAATCAGGAAAATTTTTTAACAAGATCCAGAACTGCTTTTGTTTTGCTTTGTTTGTTAAGCAAGAAGTTACACTTCTTAGACAGATGTCTCAAGAGACACAAGAACTTTTCAGATAGCAAAAAAACCTCAACCCTGTCAAATAAAGCAATATATAGATTTATAAATTTATCTAGTTAATAAATTACCTTTATATATATATTTATAGACCAAGAAAAACAGAGTTAGCGCGTATCAGTGCTTCGGTACACACACAGCTTTCCCAGCCCTTGGCTCTCAACTATCAGTACTGAGGATTAATGGGTTCAGAAAGAGTTAAACACCTAGGGGCTAAGAAATGACTATTTATGCTATTACTGTTAAGTCTATTAACAGAAAAGAATACAGAAGCAAAGGGAAACACCATGATTGAGCTCAAGATCTGTGTGATAAAACATCTCTGAACTCAGAAAAGGAAGAGAATGACAAACAAAATCACACAATAAAATGAGGCATTGTGTTTTTCAGAGGAAATTGCACCAAAAAACCCTATTTCTACATTCTGCATGAACAAGAACAAACCCAGACTTATATTTAAAATTCTGGTATTATTCCCTTCCTAGCTTTGTTCATAGCCCCAAAACGTATCTGGTATGAGCAGTAAAGGTAAAAAGAGATGACGGAAGGAAAACATGATGAATGATGAATATATTAAAAAAAAAATAAAAGTTTTGTATTTTTCTTTGTTCACATTGAAGATTTTTCTAATTATTATTATTTTAAACATTAGAGAAGCTTTCATTCCTGATCCATAAGCCATTACTTGTCTGAGAAACTTTCATTTCTTGAGGCAAGAGAAAAATCTTAACTACTGTTAAGATGCACAACTATCAAAAAGATCAGATGTTGGCTCAAATTATCTTGAAGAAACAATGTTTCTAGGAAACAGAGACAGGATCTTGTGAACATCCACTGTGTAACTGTTCAATTGTAACAGGAAACTGAATCGCTTTTCAGGAAAGAGAACAATTGAGGGCATTTCTAAACCTGAAATGGAAACAATAATTCCTTAAATGGCATTAAATGGTAACATGTAAATAGCACAGACAAACCTTCTTCCCAGTCTATAAAACAAGTATTAATATTAGTATCACAGATTTATCCAAATTCACAGAATCACAGGATATTAGGAGTTGGAAGGGACCTCGAAAGATCATCCAGTCCAACCCCCCTGCCAGAGCAGGATCACCTAGACCAGGTCACACAGGAAAATATTAGATATTTGAGACTGAGATCTAGAAAGCCTTGAAGACCTGAAGAGTATGATCTATTTTGTGTCATAGCTGACATCATCCTAACCCCAAATTTCAAGGAAAGAGCATGGAGCAGTCTAAATGTTTACAAAGCATGCTAACTTTTCAAAACATTACGAAAGCAATTTCACCAAACCTTTGGATTTACTACTATCTGCGAGAGCTGCAATCTGAAACAATACTCTGGGTATCAGAAAGAACTGAGTACAGCACACACAAGACAGTACAAGGTGAACAGTTTATGACTTTCTTTTTAGTACACAATGGATCAGGCACATATAATCAGGAAGTAACATAGTACTCAAGATTAAGAAACTCTATGTTCAATTAAAATCTCCTTATTCTGTATAACCACACAAGAAAAAAAGAAAGAAAACCACACTCAGCTAGTAATCTTTTAGACAAAAGTTTACAATATTGCAGCATAAATTGTTCTGTTCCCATTAATTCAGATAAGAGATTAAATGGGGGCATAGGATTGAGGAAAGAGGAGACAGTAGTATTTTAAAACTGAATCAAATCAAAAGTGATTTGTTTGCTCATTTATATCTGTTTGAAACAGTTCAATTTGATTTGATCACTGTTTGCTGAGTTCCCACAAATATCTGAAGGTTAGACAATGTGTAACCTACAAATTTTACTTTTAAATGCCTGAGATTCTTTTGCATTAGGTTTGTTTTCTGTAACTAAGACTGAAAGAAATCTTTCCAACTTCATATTCTGCAACTCTTCTATCAATAATAAAGAACTATTAAACCAATTTTGATTCACATTTCCCTTTGCATTGTTTTCAAATTGAATATTCCCATGTTAGCTGAAATACTAGAACCTTTTGACGCTATCATGCATAAATGCTGACTGAAACAGACTTGGCAAAAAAATGACTTTCTGACATCAGTGATGAGCAATGCTACCTTTAACATCATGACTTCAAGGGCTGTCTGGCACAGTGACTGAAAACAATCCACAGGAACACAGAGGGTGAGGGGAAGCTTAACACGTGAAGCACCTGGTTAAACAGTGTAAGGGTTATGTCCCTGGCAACTGCAGAGAGACTTCTGATGCTGTAATGTCCTTTTGGGTTCTGTCCTCTTAGGTATGCAACAGTCAAGTCTAAGAGCTTTAACAAGTATCAACCATGCAATTCATCACAGCAGTATGGTCCCATACTTCACACGTTTGGAAATATAAGTGCTCTCTCTTCCAAGAGGGGAGAGAAGAGTAGCCAGCAAAAAAAGATAATGAACCATCTCCATACCGAGGCACACATTCTTTCAAAGAAAAAGGCAGTTATCTGACCTCACAATGCATTCAACATGTGAACAGTTATAACATGGATGTACGCACTCGCATCACCCAAGGACAGATAACTTTTCCCTACGGAGTACTACAGATGTTAGATTCACATTCAACCCCTCATACCTTAAACACTGATGATATTAAGTACGCAGTGCACAGCTCCATCTGATGTCTGTCCCTGCTCTAGAATCTAAACACTACAAGGACTCCAGAAGTAAAGTGAAAAGTACTTCTGGAAAGGGAAAAGACACAGCAAACCCATCCTGACTTCACCTAATAAAAGAACAAAGGACTCACCACACTCAGTCACTGGGTAGCCTCTATGAGGAAAAGCTGAGGACTGTGAATTTTTAGTCAACTCCAAAGCTAACGTCAAAAATGCAGCACATACTTTTAAGGAAGACAAGATTAGGCTCATTTCAGCCATTTGGTGACAGCATACCCTTGAAGAAGCACAAAATGGTGACAAGGCTGCAGGTTTATAATGCTCTAACATCGATTTTGCTAAATGTCTTGGACTGGCATTTAGCAGGCTGATTTTAGAGATATATTTACAACAGCCTGGCAAACTTCTACAGGGCTCAATCTGTTAGGTGCAAGATTTAACACAAAGTTTGATTCTGAGAGCCCACAAGAAGAATACCCCTTAATTGCTAAACCTGAGCAGTCCCAGCTTGCAATGGCTTTGCACTCCAGGCTCTGGAAAACACCCTCTTTCTCTGACAGCAGTTCACTGTAAATGCTGGCCCATGCCTAGTTCAGGGCCAGCACCAAGGGGTCAACAGATGGTACCTCAGACCAAGCCAGCAGACAGCTCTACTGATAGAGCATGACAAAGTTTACAAAAAGTGATTCAAAGAAGAACCCATCAAGGATGTAGGGCTAAAGGAAAAGAAAAAAAAAAAAACAACAGAACTGAAAGTACTTCTGTCAAATCTGAAAAAGGTCCAAGTACGCTGCTCTTACATTTTTATAGTTATATTTAGCGTAGCTGAGCACAGAGCAACACAGACTGCAATATGTAACTGAAGTAACTGTTTCAAGACACAAGTCTGACTATAATCAACATCATCAGCATATTTAAATCAACTTCCTTTTAAGAACAGCCTACATGCATTAATATAAGATCTGTGCATGTGTGACAGAACCCATGGAGCCCATCTCAAAACAGGTTGAGAAATCTTTCACCTCGCACCTTTGTTCTTCCCTGAAGAAAAGGTGTCAAGCTCTGTACATTTCCAACAGCTTCTAAAGACGACCACCAAAATTTTTACAAAGTAATCTTTCTTACCTAATTATTTTGGTGGCTGGATCACCAAAACAATACTGTGTCAATTCACTAACTGGCTGAAAGTGAGGGATGCAAGAAATTCAACCATAAGTGCAATATTATAATTATATTCAAAAAATAACCCTCTAAAGACAGAAACTGTCAAATTTGCTTCAGTGGATTAAAGATGCATCTCATTTCTGCTAATTTGCACTTTACTAATTTTTGCTTCTGCAGAGAAAGTAATTTTACTTTGGCCACTAAAAAACTGCAGGAGTATGTAGCAGTATCTACTACGCTAGCTTGGGAAAAAAAGGGACACTATGTTTTCTCTATCAATAATGTATGATAGGTCCTCCTAAGCATTAGAGGTTATCCCATCACACCATAGTGCTCCAGCCCAGACATTCTTAATGTCTCTTCTCCCTCCCAACAGGGAAGGCTTTAAGAATACTCCAGAACAAAACAATGTCTGCTCTCTAGAGTTTATAATCTTACTGAATACCTAGTCTGCCTCCTTAAAACTAAATGGCAGGTATTTCTTTAAAAAGCCGTAACTCCAGAGAAGAGAAAAAGCCACCTCCTATGCAGTTGTATCCCTCAACATTTTGCTAGTCTTTCCCTCGCCAAAGTCATAATTAAACAAAAAAAACCTGAGCAAATTAAAAACCATGGAATGCCATCTGAACATAAAACCCCCCACCTTTTTCACTGTGAGAGCAGTTAAATACTGGCACAGGTGCCCACAGAGGTTGTGGAGCCTCCATCCTTGCAGATGGTTACAACCCAACTGGAGATGATCCTGGGCAACCTCCTCTGGCTGATCCTGCTCGCGCAGAGGGGCTGGACTAGATGGTCTCAAGAGGTTCCCTCAACCATTTTGTGATTCTTTGTTAACACAGAAAACTACAGATTGAGTATTAAAAGACAGTGTATTAAAATACTTTACTTCTGACTGAACAAAACCAAGGTTGAACAAATAGTTGGCAGAAAAAACGCAAACAAATAAAAAACTAAGAGAGATGTCTGAAAAGGAGCCCTCAGTTTCAGTGACCAGGCATGTCACCTCTTGGTAAGAACCAAGTCATTCTACTTTTCTCAAATTTCTGCATATTTGCAAAAAAATTAGTAGGAGAGATGATTTGAAGTTGGTGTAAGGTACATTTTAGTCACTTTAAGTGGCTGTCTTAACTGCATTCCTTCAGAGGCCAAAGAGGGAGAAGGAGCTGTGTCCTTCTGTAACAGCCAAAATACACAGATGCCAGCAGCACAGATATGAATTCCTCAGAAACACCCCTATTTTCCCATCCCATCCCAGCAGAAACAGACGGGAGTTGTCCCACACAAGGTCCCTGGCTCATGCAGGGGTTAACCTCTCAACGTCTGCCTCTAACCCCCACCAGGACAGAGGGCCTCACCTTCAGGACCTGCCAGGTATGAATGTAAGGTAAGAAAGTCCTCCTCATCTTAAGCCACAGAAGTGCCTTCCAGCAGTAAGCTTTCTTTCAGGTCCCACTCTACCAAAAGACATGCTGTGGCAGTTCAGCCTCAAGGCACCAAGGTGGTGGATGCCGACTCCCAGCAGGCGGCCTGCAGGCCCCAGGAGCAGCACTGCCAGGCGGCCGAGGTGACCAGTGTGTCCGTTGGAGGCCTCTCAGCTTCACTGATTTTCACCAAGTGACACAACTGTATCAATTCCACTTTTCCAGAGAGCACACAAGAAGGATATGGACTCCAGCTACCAAACACAGAGCTGCTCTAACAGGACCCAGCCAGCTCTCTAGGCTTTCTGACCAAAAAGAGGGACTCCCAGATGCAAACTTTGGACTATTATCCTGAGCCTTCAAACTGAAGTGCATGCATTTCATTTTAGCACTAATTGACTGATATCAATCAGTGCTTCAGAATTATTAGTTTTAATTGAAAGACTTGAGGGCCGTGCCCAGTAGGGCTAAACCTTCACACACAGTACTCAAGCATTAAATGCAGATACACATAAAAAGTGTTTTCCCTGGGGACCTGGCAAAGCCTTCCTACAGCATCAGTGACAGCTTTGTCTCTAAATCAACATTAAAAATCCCAAGTGACAGAATTCACATGAATTTTCTTCAGAGACTATTGCACGAGCCAATCGATTTTACACATAAATCATCCTATGAAGTTAAAATACAAAATTTGAATAGAACTATTGCAGAGGGAAGAAATGAGGGATAACATCAACAGGGCAAACCAAATAAAATTTTTGGCTTCATGCTCCATTCTTCAAGAAAAAACAACAACTATTCCCAATGCTGCAAGCATCAAAACCACAACAAATGGCACAGGTAACGAAACCAACAAATACGCACTCAAAAATATTTTGGAGTCTGCTTTGTGTCTGAAGACCTGACAAAAAGCAGCTGCATTCAGTCTTGAAAATACACCTATAATGCAAACCAAGTATCTAACATACCAAATACATGGCATCAAATCTAATTGAGTAACTTCTAACTTCTTACCATGAAGAAATTCTGCAAGATTTTTTTGTTTAAAATCAGTTCCTTTATTCCACAAAGGGTTTCTGAAGATCCTTCTAAGGGATTTATGCAGCTTCCTGAAGCTTTAGTACTGGCAAGAACACTATTTCTCTCAAATGCTGAACATTTCAGTGCATATTTTTAATGTTTGAGAACTATTATGATGTTATCCTTTAACTACAAAAGAATAATCCAGGTACAACCACCATACGGAAAATGTAAAGCGTATTTTTAGAACTCCAGACACTGTCATTGGATGCACAGGGATGAAGCTAAACAAGCATACATTAAAAATGTACTTGCAAGACGACAAAACACGTTCTGAACAAAAACTGGAAGTAGGAAAGAACCATGGTTATTTTTATTCATTTTTGCTACACAACACATCTTCAAGATACACACATGTTTTAGCTATGTTTGATTTTGCCAGACTCTTTAAGACATTATTTTTATCTCTATAATAAACATAATCATCTTGGAAAAGATAAAAAAAGAAAAATGTGCCTCCCGATCACTCTGAAAAGCCCAGTCTTCTACAAGTATTACCTTTTAATAGACCTGATCTTACACTAGCCCTTTGTTAAATACCGCAAGCATAGTTTTCAGTATAACTTTGCTATATTTTTCCTATTCAATAACAAGACTTATAGAACATGAGAACTCCATACACATTCATAAATTTTAAAATCATACCAATTCTGAATATCACTTTATTGATTCTTCTCATCTTTCCACATTTCAGCTTACCTCAGATCTTTGGGAAATACGACTTCGGCCTGGCTGATTCTGAAGGTGACAAGCATCACTCTCTGGCACAGAATTAACTGCATTGTCATCTTGTTGCAACTCAACCATTTCCATGCTCATCTGTCTAAAAGTAAGTACATACACATCTAAATAATGCAGTACAGAGAGGTATATTGGGCAATTCCAGACTACTAACAGAAAATAAACAGATTTCTCTCAAAACTATCAGAATAACTGAAGTCCTTTCTTCACATTCCCCCATATTAAAATATTCATTCATACAGCCAGGAGCTCTACAACAAGTACTTGGAAAAGCTGCAAGGAGGGGCAGTTCTGGAAATGGTCCTCAAGGGAGGGACAAGCACAGAGTCCTGTAGTCTCCTGCAGCGTTGAGAGCGGGGCTGGGAGCACAGTGCTCCAGAGTGGCCCTCCAGCACTGCCCACAGCACGTCCCTCGTGTCCCCCACCAGACCACGCCCCAGCTGACCAGCAGCCGTTAGCTGCTGCAGCCCTCTTGAGCCTCCTGAGGTATCAACGGCTGGCTGGGATCTACGCCCGAGTTTTCTGCAAACTACTTGCAGCTCAAGGCCCACAAGGATTCTTCTAGTTCTGCAGGTCTGAAAGTAGGGTAAGTTGAACAGAAGACTAAGCAACTCCCTGACCCTCAATTTAAACTACGGGTTTAAATCTCAACAGAAAAAGCGTCCAAATATGTCTGCTATATAAAAATGCAGTTACCTGCCAGTTGCTTTTCCGTATTTCTTGGCACATTTAACCATAACTGAAGGTGTGTGTTTTAAAACAAAAGCTCGGCTCTCTTCAGCTCCCTCTTCCTCCTACCAAACTCTGCACTGAAGGTGCAACATGGAACAGGTGATGTCACGAACATTGCCATGGCAACGGGTCAGTTCACAAACAGAACAGAACAGGACAGGGTCAGGCAGAGGCAAGCAGGACGCCCCGCGGGCATGCTCCCACCTGCACCTTCCTTACACAAGGAATTGAGGCCACAAAAGGAAGACATAATGTAGCTGTGGGATTTAACAGGCTGCAAATCTCACTTCCCCAGGCTCAGTTGCAGTAACCAGGGGATGGCAAGCCCATCTGAACTCAAAGTTCAACTATTTCAACTGGCTGATAATTACTCCAGTTTCTTCTCAGGTCTTACACTGAGATGGAAGAGACAGGGAAGGCAGTCTGCTATGCACCCGACTCAGAAGCTCCGGAATTTAGTCCCACATTTTAACAGTTAACTACATTAAAATAATTAAATGAAAACCCAACTCCTTTTGCAGCACTTTTACAGAATATTCCACAATCTTTGAGGAGAATAAATATTAAAAAAACCACCATCCTTTTTGCCTAGAATAAAGGCATGAGAATATGAAAAGGAATCCAGTATTTCTAACGTTCCTCTAACGACATCCTACTGACCAGACTTCACAGACTGCTTTGCCAGCATGACCTCAGCTGCCAGTGGTAGCCAAGCTGTACACAATTCAAGATTTTATGGATTAACATTAGTAATTCTTCCAACAAAGTTATATACTCTGTGCCAGTATCAATTGAGATTACATTCATAAGGAGACATTTTACACCTAAAAAATCTTCCGACATTCCTGCCTTGTTAGTTACCACTAATTACCTTATTCTTTAGATAGAATCCAATTAAAGATCTACTGAAATTTGCCAAAGTTGAGCAACTGGGGAGAATTTTTTCACCAAGCTTTCCACCATAGTTTTCTACAACAAGATTTTTATCTTATTAATTAATTCTGGTTTTATACAGGCATTCAATATAACAATAATAATAAAAAAATAGTGGAAAAAATGTTCCTCCTTAGTAAACTAGGACCATCCATAGAGTCTCAAACACAAAAACTGTATCTGATTCATGTAAGGATGCCTCCATAAGCTTCAGAACAGCTCACACACCAAGGAAGATTAAATAATGCATAGGTACTGGCAACATATTCATTGCAATCTCTTCCTAAAAATGGGAATATAGTCAGAATTAATACACTTCATACAAGCCCTGAAGTATTTTCTTATCCAAAGCCATCTGTTACAGATAACTTACTGCTGGAAATAGCCCCAGGTAATTTTTTCCCCACTGAATGCATTCCACAGAAATTTTACCTGCAAAGAGCTATTCTTCACATTATGAAAAACAGAGTTAAGTTTCTAAATATTAGCTTAATTCCTCACTAATTGCAGAAAACTATTAAAATTTATTTATTTCTAATACTTTATCAGGATTTGTCTCCCAAAGCTCATCTGCTGTGATCCAGTAACTGGGTTAGCAAATAGCTATGAAAAGAGCATCAGTGCAGCAGAAAATCTAATAAAAAGTTATTCCTAGTACTTTACAGTATACAGTACAAAGGACTGTATTTTTAAATTACCTACATTAAATTAGAAAAACAATAGCAAGTATTATATACGCCAGTGAAATGACAAATATAATTAAGACTTACGACATAGATGAAAAATTCCTAGAATTTAGATAGATTTGCTATTTACAATTGCGCATATTCTGACCCTTAACACAAATGACTGCCTATTTTAAATCTTTAGCAAAGCAGGGTAGACTACATCTGAAAGTTTGTATACTGCTTTTAATAAGCTTTTTCTTGACTGTCATAAAAATGCAACTGTTACCCTATAACACTGCAAAATACACCTTCTAGATAAGCTAAAATCCACTTCTTTTTGACAGCCTGGTAGTTCTAGTAAGTTTATAAACAGAGTTGACTAAAAATGGTGTCCAAACAAAGACTTAACTATAGCCTATAAAACTGAAACAAAAATAACAAAGGACATTAAGTAATTTTAAAAGATGCACTAATTATCTTGGCATAAAACTTCAATGAGAAAGATGACTAAAGACAAAATATAGCACATTAGTATCATAATCCAGACATGCTACAAGATTAGGAAACTTCAGTAGACATAACCATCGGGGATTACTAAACTTGCAGGCAAAGGTCAGCTGCAGTCATTTGAGCCCGCAGGGTTAGAAGCGACACAGCCACCAGGGCCATGTCACTTCCCGTGGGCTTGTGCACAGCTCAACACCACGCCTGCTCAGAGGCTCCTGAATTTCAGAGTCCAGTCCAGGTTATCACTGTCTTTAGTGCACTTGCATAAAGTCTCAAGTTCCTATAACCTGAGTTGTACAGGTTTTGTTTTTCCTGTATTATCTCTTATATTGTTTTACTAAGAATACATTGAAGCCTTTTTAATAAATATAAAGAAATATATAGACCAAGATTGTAACTATGGCTTTTTTCTAGAACATCAGTAATATGGACTGTGGTAAGAAAGAGTTATTAATCCAATCCAGAAACTACCTACATAAACAGATTCCACATGTATCAGACTGAATCAGTCTACACTGCAAGCAAATTCTAACATAGTTATTGCTTTTAAGTTTCAAAGTAAGCAAAAAGAAACATCTTTCTCCAAGCACTTGAAATCCTTTATAAAAGTGTATCAGTAGTAGTACAATCACACTTTAAAGTTTACATTACCTTCCTCCTGTTTTAAGGGAAAACCAAGCAAACAGTTTTAAAGTATATGGTCTTAGATCCTGGTAAAAATTATAAAATCTTTTTCTTCATAATATGATTAATTACATACAAGCTTTAGTGTTCTATTCAGTATTAATACATTAATTTCTTACATTTTCCACTTTGGTTGCTTACCATCACTGAACAGTAATTTTAAATATTAGTCTGGATTTTTAAATTAATGAACAAGTTATATGTCTCCCCTCCTATAAAAAGGGGGCAAAAAATGGCTTTCCATAATGTAGGCAAAGATACCTGTATTTTTCCTACAACACAGCACAGGAATCTTCAGGATCTGGCAGGAGGTTTAACTACTAACTAGCCAGTAACATTTCAATATATGTATTAGCATGTTTACTGTAGTCACCAAGGCTAACACACAGTAGGTCAGCAGCAGGTAAATACTGATTAAGATGCATATAGTGCACATCAAAAGCTGTCTCAGCCAATAGCAGCAGCAACCTCGACAGGACAATACTGATAGACAGCATCAGCTAAAGGAAAACACTGTCCAGGCAACCCAGAAAACTGGAAGCCATTTACAGCTAAAGATGTGAACCTTTATAGTTCTGCCCATAGATTAAAGATTAAGGATAGCATCCCTATCAAGATGTGTTCTTGTGTAATAAAGAGCACAAAAAATCCTTTCACTCCCTGCAATACATGTTCTACATCACCGAATAGTCACATAAATATTTTATGTCTGTTGGTGAAATTAATCCACTTAAGCAAATTGGTACAGTATTTTCTACAATTGGAAATGTGTGACTGTCAAATAATCAGAGACATTTTAAAGACAACTTCTTTATTTCAACAATACTTTATACATTAAAGACTGTTTACAAAGGTGGCTTATTACAATGGAAATTGTAAGAGGCTAAGAAATATGCCCTTGCTCCAAATCTCTTTCAAGGCTTTTATTCACAGTCAAGTTAAAAAAAGAAAGCAAGGATGTGAATTTACAAACACCTATTTTACATTTATTGATGACCCCATGGCAAGTGTGGGAACTCTCAGAATGCACTGATTTCAGAAGGACATTGTGTTTTCAGGTATGAAGTCTATAACCTGTTTTACTACACTGCTTTGTGAAGTACACCAACTGGCAAGGTGGTCATGAGCAACAGTGGAACAGACCAGATCCTGAAAGTGTAATCTTTGTTATGTTTTCAGTATCAGCAGAACACTACGTTTCTTGTGTCTTCTAAACTCTAATATGTTCACTTGTTTTCTTCCTAGAATTTTAACAAAACCTTAAAAAAACACTGAAAGCCCCAACCTGCCATGACTGTAAGCACAAGCACACTACCATCTGCATCTGCTACCTCAGTAATCCGGAAAGGCAGTGCTTGAGTCTGCTGTGAAGACAACACATGGTCCTCGTTTAGAAGAGCCCAATCAATCCCTGCATAGGTAAGAGGATCACTGAAGTATCAGTACCCGTGGAGTCGTTTAACTGCTACAAGACATGCTGCTCCACTCAGCACCACGCAGGACGCTGACCTGGTAGTAGTGGATGCAGACAAAACCCTCGGGCTTTAAACAAGACGTAGGGCTCACAAAGCCCACTGTGATTCCTCCCACCTGTTTTCCTATCCCAGCTCAGGAAAATACCGTTCGGGAAAGGCTGTCACCAGGCCTATCGGACTTCGGGGAAAGCCACCAGGCACCACGGCCTATCCCCAACCCCAGCGGTCCCCTCTCCGCCCTGGCACCCCGCTGGCAGCAGGGGTAGCACTCGGGAGGCCCCAGGGACCTGCTGTCCCGGGGCCCACTGCCTGCAGCAGGAAGGCACGCTGCCTGCCTCGTCCCCTCCCTCGC